GAGAGGAGAGGACAGAAGAGGAGAGGCCCAAAGAGGACAGGAGAGAAGATGACATGAGAGGAGAGGACAGGAGAGAAGAGGACAGGAGAGGAGAGGACAGAAGAAGACAGGACAGAAGAGGACAGGAGAGAAGACAAGAGAACAGAAGAGCACAGGAAAGGAGAGGACAGAAGAGGAGAGGAAAGAAGAGAAGAGGAGAGGCCTGAAGACGACAGGAGAGAAGAGGACATGAGAGGACAGAAGAGGAGAGAAGAGAAAAGGAGAGGACAGAAGACGACAGGAGAGAAAAGGACAGGAGAGAAGAGGACAAAAGAGGAGGACAGCACAGGGCAGGACAGGACTAAAGGAGAGAAAAATAATAATAAAAATAATAGCCACTGTGGACATAAATCTGACGGAGACATTTAAAATGTCCTTGTTCAGCAACTTTTTGTTGAAGTGTCACGGTGACTGCTTTCTTGGGCCACACTGAGTGATCATCAGTGTCTGGGGGTGTGAGCTGGGTGCTGCCGAGGTGGGAGACTATTTGCATTTGCTGTTTTACAATAATATATAATCCTCCTAATGGGAGGCACACTCAATGATGCAGTCTGCGATTTATGAAAGAATGAGTTGTACATGAGATTACACAGCAAAGATTACATGTCCACACATGTTCAGAGGTTTTATGATTATTATACATCAATGCCGACCCAGTGTGGGAGCACAACATGGCAAAGTCAAACAATCGAATTGTATCACGTATATGAATCATTTTTTGATAATCTTAACTCATTAGCATCTCATGCAAACTCACGGTATTAGGAGGAATGTGATCAAGTTTGATGGCTCAGTAGTCTTTACAGATGTCACATAATAGAGCCAGTTGTTATTGCGCCATTGTAAATGTAATGAAGGAACATGAAAAGAGCTCATTAAACGATAACAAGTCACTAAATCGCTAAATGGCAACACCGACTCATTGCACTGATTAATACATTTCTAGAGATAATGACAATGTATTCATTACTGTAGGTCCTGTAAAAACCATCATCCTCTATAACATCAACTATTCATTAAAATTAGTCAATAGTTTATTTACAGAGTTTAATAAGTAGAAAATTCCAAACCCATAAGGAATGTCATGTCATTATTTAAATTGTGATATATATGGTTTAGAATTTCAGCATCTTTCTATATATTTTTTTCCCCTCCATTATCCTCCATAATCTCTCTATAGCTTGCAGCACTCTGTCATGTCTTGTGAAAGGTTCTGTCTTAACCAAGAATTGCAACAAGTCTGCTTCGCCGGCGCTCTTTAAATTCACAGACACAACAATCCCCCATCTCCATTATTTCCAGCCTACTTCTCCCAAATGTGGATTTGTGCCTGGAGAACGAAACAAAGAGTTGAGATAAAAGCAAGAGAAGAGGAGCCTACAAAAGTTGAAAAAGGAGTATAAATTGCATACACAGTTAAATGAGGTCAGCTGTTTGTGCACCGCTGGTGAATAACCCTTGATAATTTCTACATGGGAAAAAAATATTACTGTGCGAAGAAACTATGTTGTTTTGTATGTGGATAAAGATATATAATGTGGACCAAATCTGGGCCAGACTAAAAAGGATTGTGGCCCATATTTGGGCCAGAACTAGTTCATATGGTTCATTTTTGGTTGACATGCAGTATTGCTATGGCTTACTTGTGGCCCAGAACTGACAAACGGGAGCGGACCACACAAGTGGCATCATTCCATATGGTATGTGGGTCGGATGAGGATAGAATATGAACAGTGGGCCGGATTAAAAACGCACTGTGTATCACACCAATACTCCACTCAGAATAAAAGAAGGGTCTATTTACAGAATTTAAATCTATTCCCTTTACAGAACCGTGACAAAGTGATTAACATTGAGCAAAGAGAAACTGTTGCGTTAGGATCATAATGTTATGTACTGTTTGGACATAATTCAAAGATAAAGACAGTTAATCATCTGCTCCAGAGCAGAAGGCAATCATTTAATCAGCTTGTGTACAATTATTAATGCTGCCCTGGTGGAAAATGATTTGTGATATTGGGCTACATGAATAATACTGACTTGATTTGACTGCAAGGAGAAATAAAACGACTACAAAGAGACATAAAACATCCACAGAGAATGACCTTAAAAGAGACAAACACAAAACAATCTCAGCTCTGTATCATGCAGACATTTTGTGTCTGTTTCAGTGTCTTAGGGGGACATTTACATGCAACATGGGAAAGTGGGTGGTTGTTTGCCTCTCTGCTTTCAGACTTGCACTGAACTGCAAATAATCTCCTGACAATCTCCAGAGGGGCTGCAAGAGAGAGTGCCTCTGCCTACATCCTGCCTCAGCCTGCTGACCAGCCTTCCCCTGAACGCTTCATAGATCAAAGATTTTTTAACCAATTTTAGTCATTTCCCAAATGCCCCACCACCCCCCCACTGAAAAACTGACCCTTACAAACACCAGCCCGATGCCTTAGAGGTGACAAGATGCTGAGGAGACAGTGGTGAGGTGTTGAATTGGTGTTCTGTGCTGCAGACAGTCTCCAGATGAGGTTTTTCACACCGCTGTGAATCCAGCACTTCCCCGACAACTCAACCAGCCCCATCTAATCATTAACACTAATGAACACTGATGTGAAAGCCTATATGAGGACGTATACCACACATCTTCTGAAGTGCTGAAAGTGGGGGAGTTC